GCCACGCTGGCAACTCTCCAAGGACATGAGGTAGGTAGTCTGTTGTTTAAATAAGTTTATACCTAGTGATATCATCGTCAAAAAAAATTATGGTAATTCCTTGTGTGGGTACCGGGGCCCTATTATAAGGAGAACAAAAATATACCTACTGCCTACTCAAAAGCGGGTGAGAGTCGACTAATTGAGAGCTTTCTTCGAAGTCGGAGTACATCTGCCTGAGAGGTTAGGAACCAACAGTCTGCACACAAATTAGTCAGGTCTGTCAAACGGATACACACGCAACACTCAGGTTCTGGAACAGGACTGCGGTCTAAAAGTGGACGAACAGTCAGAACTTAGCTCCACAGTTTACAGCCGATGAACGCGAAGAAGAAGAAAAAGAAACTATGTTAATCTATATCATGATGTATTGTCGTAGTTTCAATGATTGCATTCTATTTATTACCCGTATTTATGGCTGTGTCGTAAATTCTAACTCACTCTTTGAAGAACTAATCAGAGCTTTTGACCTGAGATGGTACAGGTCAATTCTTAGAATACCGTGGACCAAAAAGTAAGGTAAAGAATCATTGTCCACTCCTTTGGGCGTTTTGGGCTACACCTATATTTTATAGACCATTCGACACTTTGTGGGTGATGTGGTCAGCATCACGTCGGTCGCCTTTACTTCACAGGACTGCACCTGGTACCCACTCAAAGCTGGGTGCCAAGGTCATTTTTGACCAAAAGTCCGGTCACCTCAGGAACTGAACCCACGACCTTTCGATCCACAGGCGGGCGTCTAGCCATCACACCACGGTGACTCCACCACCGTGGAACAAGAAGAAGAAAACCACCTACATCCTATATGATCTGACCACGGCCAGCTCCAAATTTTGATATGGCCGTACAGCTCGAACGGGAATTCCCGTTCTTGTGCAAGAATTGAGTCCCTCTGCGTCCACAATTTTTATCGAGGAGATGTATACGCACATTAAACTACAGTTTAATTAATTTTCGACATATTTTTTAGAACTATACGTCATTTTTAAGGTAAATAAGTGTGCCGAATAAATATAACAATAAAGGCTCTTACAGACAAACAAAAATGCTTTTGCTAGTCAACATGAACATAAACATCAGTAACGTTTAGGTGTAAATTAAAAGTTGTTCCAGCGAAAGTAAAGAAATATCAGTGCTAACTCTTTGATTCTGAGAGGGTATTGCTGCATCAGAGGAGCGGGGGGTTGCGGGGGGGGGGGGGAGGGGAGGGGTGACATTTGTACTTTATCAAATTTAGCGCATAAAAATACTGCTATGAAACATGCACATATCATACATAACATAAATATAAATAATTGATGGTTATTGTTATTATTAGTAAACTACTACAACATATAATTATACTGTTATTTAATAATTAGTAAACAAGCACAATCAGTATGAAATTGATATGTGCAATACTTTTTCACCCAGAGTAGTTTTCTTAACAGTACTTATCATCATCATCATCAGGTGCCTTGCCGACTAGCGTGGGCGATCATGCCTCTCCATAATCCGCGATCTCCTGCAGCATGTATCAGTTCCTGTGCCGACACACCTCCATGCCATGCAACAAGACTGTCAAGCATCTTCTCTAGTTGTCTTCCTCTATCCCTCCTTCCACAGATCTTTCCAGTGATCACAACATGTTCTATTTTCCCTCTTCTTATAACATGGCCGAAAAATGATGACTGTCTCCTTCTGATGTCAGTGATAAGTTGTCTTTGGTCCCCCACCTCTTTTAAAACCTCTTGGTTGCTCTTTTTGGCTGTCCAAGGTATTCTAAGCATTCTTCTGTAAAACCACATCTCTGAGGCCTATAAAAATTGTTTGGCCTGCCTACCGATTGTCCAGGATTCACATCCATATGTTAAAACTGGATGTATGTAGCAAGCAAGAATTCTTTTTCTAACTCTCAATGACAAGGATATATTGCACAAGATTTTTTTCATTTTATAAAATGTAGTTTTTGCCTGTCCAATTCTGTTTCTTATTTCAGTTTTGCATCTTTCATCTGATGTTATCCATGTGCCCAGATACTTAAATTTCTGTACTTGTCTTAAAATAACACCATTTAGGAATAATTTGTTTCTTTGATACCACCATTACTTCTGTCTTCCCATTATTCAAACTGAGGCCCATTCTTCCACTTTCTAACACCACAATGTCTATCATTTCCTGTAATTCTTTCTGACTTGTTGCTATCAAGACTGTGTCATCAGCATAACGTAAATTGTTTATATTGTGCCCACAAACCACGATTCAGGGCATATCAATTAAAGATCTCATAATATATTCACTGTATATTGAAAACAAATCAGGTGAAAGTACACATCCTTGTCGTACGCCCCTCTTTATGCTTTGAAATGTACCTAAACAGTTGTTAATTCTTATAGATGCTCTTTGCTGCCAATACATATTCTTTATTATTCTTAGATCTTTCCCATCAATGTTTAATTTTTCTAACAGTTTGATTACTTCTTCATGCTTCACACAGTCAAATGCTTTTGTATAGTCTATGAAGCATAAGTACAAATCAGTCTTTACTTCTATAGCTCTTTCTGACAATGTCCTTAGGATGTATATGGCATTGTTTGTACCTTTTCCTTCTACAAATCTACATTGTTCATGTACTTATAGCACTACTAAATATGTATCCTCAAGGTACAAACAGCACAAACAAATTTGTCCAGTTTCATCTTGTTGGATTAAATCAATTCCTTACCATTGCAAATTTTTTGGTAACAAATATGCATAGGAAGTGGATGAACTACCAGAAGATTCTGCAAAAGTTTACAGCCAGTGTTCGTGAAGTAAAGCAAAAGCCAGTTTACAAAAATTAACAGACCATAGAACTGCAAAAATGCAAAAGAAGTCGATGAATTACCAGAAGTTTCCGCAAGAGTTTACAGCCAGTGTTCGCGAAGCAAAGCAAAAGCCAGTTTACAAAAATTAACAGACCGTAAAACTGCAAATATGCAAAAGAAGTCGATGAACTACCAGAAGTTTCCGCAAGAGTTTACAGCCAGTGTTCACGAAGCAAAGCAAAAGCCAGTTTACCAAAATTAACAGACCGTAGAACTGCAAACATGCAAAAGAAGTCGATGAATTACCAGAAGTTTCCGCAAGAGTTTACAGCCAGTGTTCGCGATGCATAAGTCAAATGGTTAAGGGTTAATATTATTAGTGTACTGCTACAACATATAATTATACTGTTAGTCAACAATTAGTAAAGAGGCAAAGAGTGACTTGCTGTGAGAGATTAGTTAGTAAATTAAATATTATTTTCATTCACTTACCTAGAGCTCCGAAATATCTTGACACAATTTATCCACAGTGTGGTTGCACCATTTATGCACAGTCAATATGAAAGCAATAATTTTCTTCAAACACAAGATAGTTTGCACCTGACAACTGTCGATATTCTCCAGAAATGGCTTCTAAATTACCTGTTTGTATTATCCCTAAAAGTAAGATTTCTACATTTAAAGTAGAAAAGTTATAAACAGCCAGTTCCCAAAAATCCGAACTACTGACTAGAAACAGTGACACTGACACACACATCACAACACGACTGTCTTCCGTGAATTAAAATTAAAATTAAAATTGCTGTATATCCACTTCACAATATCCATTTGTAGATTTGTAATACGAATACGTTTAGAACACATGACTTTGTAAGCATATTAATATTTCACACATTGCAACAGGGAAACGCTCCCAGTAACCTAATTTCGAGGGGGACTCCTCCAAAATGTACCGTGATTCAGTTGTGTGGACTGAATAATTAGAGAAGGGCCTTGATCTGAGCAGTCATGGAGAATTGGCTCATAAACAGCGTCCTGTCCCGAAAGCTGTGGTATTTTGGCCTTGGAAAAGTGCCGTGGTAAAATAGGGAGAACGGTGTTGGAGGGTACAGTTTCTATGGGGGGGGGGGCAGAGGGAGACCTACGCGATGGTGAATACAGAGCATAGAAGATTCATTAGCTGTGAAAGCACATAGGGCTGAAGAACTTCCCAGAGAACAGCCAGAGGAAGAGAGACTTTTAGGTGTGTCTAGACGAGAGGCACGTTCCGTGAAGGACGTGCTGATTGATGAATGGGGAATTATTTCTAGGAACATATCATTCAAGATTTCTAAGAACATCTCATTTAAGATTTCTAAGAACATCTCATTTAAGATTTCTAAAAACATCTCATTCAAGATTTTTAAGAACATATCATTCAAAATCTCTAAAAACATATAATTAAAGAATTTTAAGAACGTCTCATTCAAGATTTCTAAGAACATCTCATTTAAGATTTCTAAAAACATCTCATTCAAGATTTTTAAGAACATATCATTCAAAATCTCTAAAAACATATAATTAAAGAATTTTAAGAACATCTTATTCAAGTTTTTTTAAGAACATCTCATTCAAGATTTCTAAGAACATCTCATTCACGATTTCTAAGAATATCTTTTTTAGGATTTATAATAACACCTCTTTTAAGATTTCTAAGAACATCTCATTCAAGATTTCTAAGAACATCTCATTCAAGATTGCTTACCCGCGCGTGACTGCAGGTTTAACCTGGCTAATCTAGCTATTACTTACTTAAGTTTGATGCCACAAGAGGGAAACGGGAGGAATGAATGACAGCTTCTACAACAGTGGTTCTGAACCTGTGGGTCGCGACACTTTTTTTGGGTCTAGCGACCCCATTACAGAAGTCGCCAAAGACCATCGGAAGACACATATTCACAGAAGTCGCCAAAGACCAACGGAAGACACATATTCACAGAAGTCGCCAAAGACCAACGGAATAAACATATTCACAGAAGTCGCCAAAGACCAACGGAAGAAACATATTCACAGAAGTCGCCAAAGACCAACGGAAGACACATATTCACTGAAGTCGCCAAAGACCAACGGAAGACACATATTCACAGAAGTCGCCAAAGACCAACGGAAGACACATATTCACAGAAGTCGCCA